TGGTTTGGGGAGCTGTTTGGGTTAGTGGGAGATCAAGCTTAGTGGAGTGCGTTGGCAACATAAATTTTGCGAAATACGTCGAAATATTGGAGGAAGGACTCTTGCCACTTTATTCCTCAGGTTTCGTGGACAAGAACACAACGTTGTTCTAAGAAGATGGAGCACTGTGTTACACTGCTAGAAACACCCAAAAGTGGCAAGAAGAAAATGGTGTCCATAAGTTGCCCTGGCCGAGCCAATCTCCTGACATAAACACCATCAAAAATCTTTGGGCCATACTCTACCGGCAAGTCAAGAAACAACCAAAAAAACTAACTTCAAAGAGCGATCTACTCCAATTTTTGAAGCAAGAGTGGGTGAAAATTCCACAATCTAAAATTGACGAGATGATTCTCACGATGCCCCAAAGGCTCAACGAACTCCACGAGGCGAAAAGAAGATCTACTAGATATTAATTAAATTATAGATATATCAATTCATGTGAATATGACTGAAAATTTTCATTTCTTTTCTGAAAAGGTGGTGTCTATTTACTTGTGACCACGCTGTGTATATAGTACTGTGTTTTTTAATTTTGAAATGATGTTCTGTTGATATGCCTATGATGTGATATCTTATAATAAATAGCACTATTTTTGGTCAAAGATGTGTTCATAAGACTGCAATGTTACAAATAATGCTATTGTGTTACTATGTATACTTTCAGATTCTTATAAGAGAGACACCACAGGCTCAGCGCCACCTTACCGACATGAGTAAGTATCTTGGAAAGATTGGACAGGTCTGCAGTGTTGGCAATCTAGCTGACCAACTTGAGGCCATCGAACAAGAAGAGAGTATTACAGAGAACCGATTACAAGAAGAAGTGGCTTTCCTACAGGAGATGGTCGAGGAGTGGGAACAGTGTGATCGCAAGTTAAAAGAGGTTGCTGGTTGGTTAGAAAAAACAAAGAATAACCTGGAATCTCCTCATCAGAAAAGGAAAAGTTTTCATGATCAGTTGGCAGCAAGAGAGGTAAGTTAAGTATTCATGATTAGTTGATAATAAGAGATATAAGTTAAATATTCTAGATTAGTTAGCAATAATATAGGTAAGTTAAGTATTCCAAATGGGTTAGCAATAAGAGAGGAAAGTTAAGTATTCTAGATTGGTTAGTAATAAGAGAGGTAAGTTAGGTATTCTAGATTGGTTAGTAATAAGAGAGGCGAGTTAAGTATTCCAGATTGGTTATCAATAATAGAGGTAAGTTAAGTATTCCAAATTAGTTAGCAATAATATAGGTAAGTTAAGTACTCCAGATTGGTTAGCAATAATATAGGCAAGTTAAGTATTCCATATTAGTTAGCAATAATAGAGGTAAGTTAAGTATTCCAAATTAGTTAGCAATAATATAGGTAAGTTAAGTACTCCAGATTGGTTAGCAATAATATAGGCAAGTTAAGTATTCCATATTAGTTAGCAATAATATAGGTAAGTTAAGTATTCCAAATGGGTTAGCAATAAGAGAGGTAAGTTAAGTATTCTAGATTGTTTAGTAATAAGAGAGGTAAGTTAAGTATTCCAGATTGATTAGCAATAATATAGGTAAGTTAAGTATTCCAGATTGGTTAGCAATAATATAGGCAAGTTAAGTATTCCATATTAGTTAGCAATAATATAGGTAAGTTAAGTACTCCAGATTGGTTAGCAATAATATAGGCAAGTTAAGTATTCCAGATTAGTTAGCAATAAGAGAGGAAAGTTAAGTATTCCAGATTAGTTAGCAATAAGAGAGGTAAGTTAAATATTCCTGATGAGTTGGTAATAAGAGAGTTTGATTAGATATTCCTGATAATAACAGAGGTAAGTTACAGTTTGGTATAGTATGGGTTATATGAAGCTATATTCAGAATGTTGACTCAACTTTTGAAGACATTTTTTTTCAGTTGGGTCTTTTAAAGTTGATTATGAATAACATAAAATTCTACATTTTTATAAAATGAATTTGAAACAGGTACTTACTTTCCTTGTTAAGTTTGTCCTCATGATACTAACAAACATGTGACTCAAAATTTTGAATATCCTTTATGTAATGTACACATTATTTTCCATGCTTTTCCACCATAATTGTTTTTTTAAAGTTGCAATCATAATGTAGAAAAGTAGTTCAGAGGTAAGTATCTGTTTGAAATTCATTTTAATTCTAAACATTTAAACTCAAGTCAGATAGTCTTATCTTTGAAGTACTGTATGCCAGAATATCCACAATGGAGAATGATGTGATGACATTGGAAATAATATAAACACAGATGATCCCCATCCTGGTTGAAGGATAACATAACAGCCACTAGATAACAGCCCCTGTCCAATTCAAGAGGGCAATACACTCTCATGGAACCCACACATAGAGAAATTGTGTAAGACAAACGTAGATTGTAATGAATATGTGTGATTCCTGACTGGGTGAATCCATACAAGTACAGATTCTCCCGAGAAAAGAAGAAACTGTATTTATTATATTATTGGTTTGTTTTTCAAAATTCTTAACAATCCCAGACACTCTTGAAATGGGTAGCAGGATTTTTTGAGCAAAATACAAAACTTTGTTCACAGCATAAATGTTTTTACCTGCTATAGATTCCATTTGATTTGAAAAATAACCACATGTGGTGAACAAAATTTTGGAGCTGGAGAGACAGCAATGTAATGAAGATAAAATTGGAAAGAAGTACTTGGATATGTCCACATTTTAACCTGTAAGATTTCCTTTATTGAACCAAGATCACGAAGAAAATATCCAGAAGATGGGCAAATTGGGATGTGTAACTGTCTTTGGTATCCAAATTCATCATCATAAAACCCTCAAAAAAGAATTTCCATAAGATTTTAATGGTTTCCATCTGAAAATAAAGAATTTCCATAAGATTTTCATGGTTTCCATCTGAAAATGAAGCATTTCCATAAGATTCTTATGGTTTCCATGTGGAAATGAAGAATTTCCATAAGATTCTTATGGTTTCCATTTGGAAATGAAGAATTTCCATAAGATTCTTATGGTTTCCATTTGGAAATGAAGAATTTCCAAAAGATTCTGGTGGTTTCCATCTAGAAATGGATAATTTCCATAAGATTCTCATGGTTTCCATCTGGAAATGAAGAATTTCCATAAGATTCTCATGGTTTACATCTAGAAATGAAGTCTATTAATGTTTTGACAGTTTCTAAAAGCATCAGCAATAACCTGAATATAAGAAACAACAAGAAATAAAGTACTGAACTGTTTGACATGACACTGGCACTCACCAATATAGCAAATATTGTTTAAAGATGTAAGAAACAAGTATTTAAGTACTGAACTGTTTGACATGACACTGGCACTCTCCAATATAGCAAATATTGTTTAAAGATGTAAGAAACAACAAGAAACACAGTATTGAACTGTTTGACATGACACTGGCACTCACCAATATAGCAAATATTGTTTAAAGATGTAAGAAACAAGTATTTAAGTACTGAACTGTTTGACATGACACTGGCACTCACCAATATAGCAAATATTGTTTAAAGATGTAAGAAACAAGTATTTAAGTACTGAACTGTTTGACATGACACTGGCACTCTCCAATATAGCGAATATTGTTTAAAAATGTAAGAAACAAGTATTTAAGTACTGAACTTTTTTACATGATACTGGCACTCTCCAAACTCAAGAAGGAACGGCCCACAGCTAAATCTACTTGACGTGAACTATGTTTTTTATAAATGATTTGTTGTTTATAAATATATTTTTATTATTCACAGTGCAGCTACATTTATCTTTATGTTGTGTCAAGATAAAAAAATTACATGAATTTGTTATTACTGTTTAGAAACTCCTTGCTGACATAACAATCCAGAAAACTAAAGTTAAGATGGCTGTTGAAAAACTTCTGGTCCACTTCAGAACTAGATCGTCTACTCAAAATCAAATGGCTTTAAGAGGGGACCAACTGCAAACCGAGCTTGACAAGTTACACAGTATTGTAGAAGATCAGAGTAAAACACTGTCTGCTTGCCTTGCTCAAGAAGAACAGTTCCAACAAGAAATACAACAGCTGCGCCATCTGGTGTCACAAAGTGAACATCAGCTGAAGTTGGCAGGTAGTCCAACCTTCTCAACACAAGAACGAAAGAAACAAGCAGCTTTTCAAAATGTAAGTATTTGAAACTAAGTTTCAGACAGTGGCTTTCTCAAAAATCAAAGTTTCAGTAAAATAATGAATAATTAACTTACAAAACCTTTATGTTAAATACCATGCAGAAGGTAATCCCTGTTATCCTACAACATTCAAGGTATTACTAGATATTATTATTATTGTTTAAAATTTATATCTTCCATTGGGTTGACTTCAAACTAGTTTTTGTTTATTCTCAGGCTTTGATTGTGTTCAGTTATGGGCTCCTTACCTTAGGAAAGATATTGAATTGTTGGAAAGGGTTCAGAGGAGGGTTACTAGAATGGTGCCTGGGATGGAGAGGTTGTCATATGAGGAGAGGCTGAAATTTTTCAAACTGTTTTCTCTTGAAAAAAGAAGAATTAGGAGGGATCTGACTGAGATGGTTAGGATTGTAAAGGGAATTGATAGTGTTGATGTATCATATTTTTTGTATTTATCAGTGAGAATAGTAGGACTAGGGGACACAAATATAAATTTTGGCAAGGTAGGAGTCATGTTCAGCTAAGACAGTTTCATTCTTCTAACAGGGTGGTTGGCCTTTGGAATGGGTTGCCTTCAGATGTTGTGGAGGCAGTAAATTTATGTGAGTTTAAGAAAAAGCTTGAAAAGTATATGAATGAAAAGGACTGGCTTTAAGATATTTATATATATATATATATATTTTTTTTAATCATTTTAATTTAGTTTTAGAGGATGGAGCAGCCAAAATGAACCAATAGGTCCCACGTTGTCCCAAAACGTTACTTATGTTATATTATTTGATTACATAGAATTTGCCAGGTTTAATAGAAATAAGAGTATTTTTAATTAGTTTAGTTGTTTTGTTTCTAATTGTTTTATTGTCAAACTTTTGTTTTTGAATTGGGTTGTACGTTTTGATTTTGAGGGGAGTACTTAGATCACATGATTTAGTTTCTGAAGAAATAATATGAAACTTTTGAGTAGTCAATTTACCTTAGGCCACATGTTTCAGTTTGAAGAGTAATAACATCAAATTTTGACTTTTATTTAATGTTTTAAGATAATTATTATCAATTATGTAATAATCAGTGCCTGCTAAAATTCTACAACAATAATTAAAATTAATAAGAAATGGCCTTAATTATGAGTAACAAGCAAACTACATAATAATTCTATGACCATCAGTTGGGTACCCTCACTGTTAGTGAAGGTCATCAGTTTGGTACCCTCACTGTTATTGAAGGTCATCAGTTTGGTAGCCTCACTGTTATTGAAGGTCATCAGTTAGGTACCCTCACTGTTATTGAAGGTCATCAGTTTGGTAGCCTCACTGTTATTGAAGGTCATTAGTGAAGGCCATTAGTTGGGTACCCTCACTGTTATTGAAGGTCATTAGTGAAGGCCATCAGTTGGGTACCCTCACTGTTAGTGAAGGTCATCAGTTAGGTACCCTCACTGTTATTGAAGGTCATCAGTTGGGTAGCCTCACTGTTAGTGAAGGTCATCAGTTAGGTACCCTCACTGTTATTGAAGATCATCAGTTGGGTAGCCTCACTGTTAGTGAAGGTCATCAGTTGGGTAGCCTCACTGTTAGTGAAGGTCATCAGTTAGGTAGCCTCACTGTTGTTGAAGGTCATCAGTTGGGTAGCCTCACCATTAGTGAAGGTCATCAGTTGGGTACCCTCACTGTTATTGAAGATCATCAGTTGGGTAGCCTCACTGTTAGTGAAGGTCAGCAGTTGTGTACCCTCACTGGTAGTGAAGGTCATCAGTTGGGTACCCTCACTGTTAGTGATGTTTTACCCAAGAACACCATATGAAATTAGGGCTGCTTAGCAAGTATCATAGTAACATTGTCACATGTAACATGCCTTTTGCATTTGACAAATGTAGGTTTTATTATTTAAGAAATTTAATACTATAAATAACTAAAGTACATACCATATTATTTAATACTGTATAGATTTAGTCTTATATAGTATGTGGCAAGTTTCAGCTAGATGGTCTCATAAAAACAGCAGCCTGTGTGAATTTATGACTGTTAGTGTGTTCTAGTTCTACCACTCTCAGTCCATCATAGCACTTTGCTAAAGAAAGTCTCCCCAACAGCAACATTTGAAAGGTGGGGCTTATAAACCATAAGTGACCAGTTCTTAAAAGTGGAAGAATAATTTTAAAAAGTCCTAGAATTTGAGGAAAGTCAGGTATAACTGTTGTTATAGATCATTATCAAACCGTTCACATGACACCATTCAGTAGGAGAGGTTAACTTTAAGCTGCATTGGAATTTTTTCAGATAAATTAATTTACTGTGGGAAAATTTAGTGTGATTATTTCATATACAAAATTACCGAGCCAGTTCAAACAGACAACTTTGTTGTACTCTACGTTTATTGTTTTTAAAATATTTTGTCTTTGTAAATGAAAGTCCCAATAGATTTGAGACTGCCTTCAAATCTAGCCAATATAGTAATAAAAAAGACAATAATTCCACAGGATGCTGTTACATCTGTATATTTACAAGCATTTACACCGTAGGGACATCAGCAGATTTTTAAGATAAGTTTGAGAGTTTACTTACATTTATGTTTTATGCATTAAATAAATTATGTATTATAAAATAAACCAGTTGCTACATGAAGCTTGTCTGTGGGTCTTAAACCATGCAGACGAAAAGGAACAAAGAAGAAACATAATAATAACCTACTTATTAAGATTAAGATTTATTGTGTACTATTAAACATTGGCTTTATTTTTTAATTCATCTGTGTAAATATCCTATTTGTGTAATATAGAATAGCTAATAGTTTACATGTTATCATAAAACAAGCAAAAGTACCTGTCCCCGGTGATGGGAAAAGTTTAAGTTAATTTGTCCATTTAAATTATCTCATGAACTTTAAAAAGGTTAATTATGTTGCACTCTTGGTTTGCACAGAGCCAAAGTACTGAGCTACTTATATTGCCCACCATGAAAAGTAGTTGTTGAGCATTTCAGTCATGCTAAGAGCTTCTCAACAATAACATATGGTCAATTTCAGTTTTATTCTTTAAGTTATGTCACATTTAGTGTAGAATATCGTGCTTGTGAAATAAAATTTGGCATAAACATTATTCATGCTGTTCCCCTGTCATTTTCAAAAGTGAATGTTGAGCTTTTCCAGGAGTGCTAAATCTTGAGTTTTCTCTGTACATACTTTGGGACACTGTTCATGCAGTCTCCATTCATTCCAGCAAAATTATTTTAAAGTGTCAGACTTTACTGTCATCAAAGCTTAGCAAGAGTAAAATAATTAGTTTATAAAGCTTATAAGATTTTCAAAACAGTTTTTACTTATCACATAGAGGATGGAAAAATCATGTCCTATCTGTCCACCTTCTAAAGTCTGTTGAGTTGGGCTCATGTCACAAACTTTCTGCTGAGGCAGAGCACCATGAAGTGGTGAAGATTATGGGACTTGAAGGTACAGGATGAGTAATCGTTAAATGAAAGAGGGTGCACAGTAAACTTTATTTATGTTCCTAAAAGTAAAGAGTGGTAGGAAACACTGCACCTCTCCCCAGCCTTCCCCAACAGGGGTCCCACAGATTTGAAGAAAGTACTGCTACCTTACTGTTAATGTAGATTGGCTGATGTAGTTTTAAAAGGATTAACATCAATCTGTTGTCTTAAGTTTGATGCTTTAATTGTGAAAGAATTGTTAACTTTGGTTGAATGATGTAGTTTTAAAAGGATTAGTGTCAAACTGTTGATTTAGGTTGGATGTTTTACTTTTGGAAATATTATTATCTCACCGTTAACTAGGTTACATTTATTTTTAATTTTAGAACATTTAAAAGTCAAACTCTTGTCTTTGATTCACTGTTTTAGGTTTAAAAGTCAAACTCTTATCTTTGATTCACTGTTTTAGGTTTAAAAGTTGCACTATTAGAATTTGGGTTTATGTTTAGTTTTAAAAAGATTAACCCTTTTCGAGCCAGTGAGCACCTTTCAGCTTCAGTACTCATCTGCTTATCAAATTTCAACATTTCAGTACAAATAATATTTCTAGCTCTGTGTCAACAATTTTTTAATCAATTTTAATATTTTAAAATTGATATCTTGCAATTTTTTGATAATTGTATAACATTATTCACAAAGAAAAAAAGTGTTGAAATTTTCATTTCTGTGCAGCTGCAAGTAGTCTTGCATGTAGAAGTGTACTTATTGATTTCTTTTAGTGCTTCTGCCCATTCCAAAACATAAGTTTATATTTTTTAGCAAACTTGAGGATATTATTTTCAAGAATTTGTTTCTCATGTGATTTTCCTTCTCTTCTGAATTGTATTAGTACAACTTCTTGTTTCACAAATGGTTGAACAAATATTAATGAAACTGAGCTTTCAAAATAACTAAATACCATCAGATAGAGCAGATTATAAGATACATATGTTAGTGTGATGTAAGAAGTGATTCTAGACTTGTGATAGTGATTAGATGTAGCTCCTGCAAAGAAGAACAAAGTTTAGAAGACATGCGAACAAACTAGTGATGTGAGAATGTTTTTCTAGTTTTTTGGACATTCTTTTTTGCTCCTGAAAAGTTTTTGTATACAATTATATATTTCTTAAAACTACAAAAATTGTTCCTTATGACAAGACATCAGGCAAGCCTACTTAGGTTTAGTGAGTAGTGTAGGCAACAGTAAATATTCCAGTGAGTCAAATATTATTCAAATCGTTATTTATTGAATGTTTGTTTTTTATATTCAAACAATGCATATAAATAAAATATCTTATAAATTATTGAAAACAAAGTGTAGAAATTGATTTCAATTAAGGATATTGTTATCAAAAATGTTTAATGTTATTTAATGTTTATTTCAAAACACTGCCTCAAAATATGATTTTGGAAATTTCACAACATAGAAAATAATAAAAAATGTAATCAAATTATCTGAATTCTGTTAACCAAAATTAAGTACTAATTAGTTAGTTTTTCTAAGTTTCATGCAGTTTGGTTAAATATTATATTTCCACTATGAGAAGAAAAAATCCACGGATATTAGTGAAAGCCCCACTCCCCAATGTGGAAAGTGTTAATGTTAAAATGCTTAATGATTTTTCAAAAGGATAACAATGCTTTGGTAGCTTCTTTTTTATTACAAAGGAATTTGTTTTTTGTTCGTGAAAATTTAAACATATTATTCTTCTTTGAAATTTGTAATTTCTGATAATCATATCGTTAAATGGTGTAAGAAATTGCCCCATTTTAATGGTAAACATGTAACAGCTTAGTGAGTTACTTTAGAATTAGGAATTTTAGGCTTAAAAAATATTGTTTAGAATTAGTAGTGTCTTATGTACATTTTGAACTGAAGTATTTATTCGAATGTGACAAACTTTATTGATGTTAAAATAGAGTTGTTGTTTAAACTTTCTTTTGACAAACTTCTTTATTAAATTACATGGAAATTAGCATAAACGTTTTTAGTATATTCTGTTTTAAACTACAGTTTTGGTTTTTAATTCTTTTTGAAGATGTTTCCAAACAAACTAAAAATGAAAAATTTTTAATATTAAAACAAAATTCCAAAACCTGAATAATAGTTTTTATGACATTATGTGTAAACAGATTATATCATAAAAAACTTTTACAACAGGCACAACGAGAACAGATAAAAAAGTATCATCAACAAATTTCTGGTTTGGAAGATCGTATTAAGAAACTAAACCAACGTAGAACTCCAGAAACTTCAGTAAAACCCGAACTTCTTGTCACAGCAACTAAATACCCTAGTTTTATTGGCCCTGATATTCAATCAGAAGCAAGTGAAGAAAAAGCATTTATGTTGGGAGGAGTTACGGAAGAATCTCCTACAAGCTCAGATACAGCTGTAACTGAGGTATTGCCTAAACAAATTTTTGAAGTTTCTGAAATTAGAGCAGAGAGGTCTTGCATAGATGGTTCTCCACATGATGACTCAGGTCCAGAAGAAACAGCAGCTCATTCTAAGGTTATTGATTCATCTTCTGTAGCCAAAGAGGATCATTCCATGGTCTTGTCAGAGGAAAAACAAGAAGATCTTTGTCCTGGTGTTACAAAAACCGTCTCCTATTCACATCACGAAAAGTCTACATCCATTAAGAAAGTAGTTACTGGTCAACCCCAAGAAGTCTCAAAAAGAAAAGCAGAGGAGTCTCGAAAGCCTGAATCTGGAAAAGAAACCCAAAAGAAAGGGGGTGGTAAAAGAGGTAAGCAAAAAGGAAAGGGTACTGCAGAAGATAGAGGGAAACATGCAAGACCACCATCTTCCAGCTCTTCCTCTATGGAAACAGAGTTATCTAGTGTAAAATCAGAAGATACTTCTCCAGAGCAACAAGCAGGTCCAGTTAATGTTGCATGGGCTAGTGGTTTTCTTGGAAAACCAACATATGCTGATATATTATTAAAGAAATCCGCCTCTCCACCTGTTTCACCTGCTCCATCTGCTTCAGAAACTGTTAAATCTTATCAAAAGGAAGTAACTCATTCACCAGAAGGAGGAATCCAAACTGTAGAGAAACAAGAAGTGAGCAGCTTTTCCCACAAAGAATATTCAACTGAAGTCCCTCATGTGACACAATGTGAGAGTCCTTTACCTTCGTATACTTCAGAATATGATAAGCCATACTCTCGATCTTCTTCTGGAGAGTTGGAAGTGGACACTCAGCCAACTATCCATCTTCCTGAAGAGGACCACTCTCAAAAATTTAAGTCTAGATTTGCACAGGATGGTTCACCTCGATTTACAGAATTGGATATAAAGCAAAAGCCATTTCCATCCTCAGGTTTTGAAGATCAAGCTGAAAGTCCATCATTAGGAGTTCCATTTCAAGTAAAAGAATATTCTGAATCAAAAGAATCATCAACTACTTCAACACACACTTTTGCCTTGGGTGGGGAACCTCACCTATTGAGTGAAACTTCACGAAATCAAGTTCAGACAAGAGTTGTAGTTTCAACAACAACAGAAAGAAGTCACTCCACTTCAGATCATAAAAGACTAACATATGCAGAAGTTGCTAGAATGGGCAGTCCTCTTCCATCATTGCAATCACCCCCACCTGATGTTCGTAGCAGAAGCCCTACCCCATCATCTACCAAACAAGGTTCGCTTCCCCAATCTCAAAGACAGAGTAGAAGCCCACATCCAAAAAGACAAGCTGGAACAGCTCAAAGTCCAGGAGCAGATTCACCATCAGAACACCATCATCAGCCTTTTTTAGGGATGGCTTCTGACAACCGGACTAGGCCTAAATTAGATGATAAAGATTGGTGGGAAGAAGTTGAAGAGGAAGTGGAACAGAAAGACGTTGAGGCTGATGAACAAAACACTGATCTCACGACCGATCAAAAAAACTTGTTTAGGCCTCTGTCCAGTCCTGGAACTGAACAACTGGACAGGGGCCTTAAACTTTTAACATTTAGCATCTCCCCAGGTACTTCAGAGTACGAGTTTCATAAAATTTCAGGTTGCAGCAAAGATAATACAAAACATATTTATCCTTTAGAAACTGAATGTAGTGTAACAGATGAGAAGAGTCTAGAAAAAATAAGTTGTTATAGTCAAAGTCAAAAGAAAAAGAAGAGATGCATAAAATATCCAAAACAAATTGAAGGATCTGGATCAAGTACAACAGACAATAAGGAGAAATTTGAAACTTACAAAGATTTAAAAGGAAAAGCTCTTAAAGGAGCAACAATTGAACTGTTAGAAAATGCTGGACATTTTGCTACTGAAGTACATGGAAAGGGGAGTGATGATGTGTCTTCTAAGAATAATAGTCTTCAGACATCAAGGGTACAAGAATCAACCTTGGATTCTTTGAATTCGAAATATAATGGTGTGAAAGATCTAATGGAAACATTTGTAGATATAAAAAAATATGGCTATAATTTTGAAGGTAATTCTAAACAGGATAATTTTCCATATGACCAAGAACTAGAAAAGCATGATGAAGAATACATAAGGGAAAATTTAAGTAATGGAGTAATAGATTACAAAAAATAAATTAAAGAAAAAGAAAAAAAGAAAATATTACCTGCAGAAAACATTCCTATAATTCAGAAAGTAAGTCAGCCTGTTGCAATAGAAGCTGAAGGTGATGGTTCAGCAAGTGAAAATGAGACTTTAGGAGAAATATTTATTAATGTGACATGCCCTAAAAACTATCTTGATTTTCCTTCTTGGGAATCTTTAACATTGTCACCATCAGGAACTTCTGACTCTGGGATGTACAGTATTGAAAAAAGTCTTACATCTCCAGAAGCCTTTCCTGAACTTCCAGAATATGAAGTTTATAACCAGCCAGTTTTGTTTGAGTCTCAGTTAGGACTGGAACCTAGTGGATTGGTACCTGGTGGTTTGTCTGAGCCTCATGTAGGATTGTCACCTAGTGGTTTGTCTGAACCTCAGTTGAGATTGGCATCTAGTGATTTGTCTGAGTCTCAACTCAGTTCATTACCATGTTTTACATGTGATCCTCAGATACTATCAACATCAAGTTTTATGCCCAGTCCTTGGCTTGGATCAGAATCTGTTGTTAATAAAATTGGGGGCCTGTCAAATATTCTCCTTTTGTCAGATACATGCAATGAAGAAGTGCCAGAGAAATTTAAAAGTGGTCAGAAAGAGTCTACAAAACCAGATGGTTCAACTATCTTGAGAAGACAAACTAAGCTTGATGAGGAATCAAATAAAGGAGGCTGTTTAACTTTACAAACTAGTCTTGATGAATGTCAGAAAGCTGAAAGCTTTTATGTACACCCTTTAAGCATTAAGCCTTCTTATCTAATACCAGTTTCACAACTTAAAAGTACAATATTTAAAGATCACAGCTCATCAGAAAAGAGTTTGTTGGAAACTAAGAAAATTGTTGCATCAGTTGTGTGTGATCAAATAAATTATATTCCATTAACTTCTCAACTAGAGAAAGAAACTGGTGCATATGAAACCAATGTAAATAATAACAGGATTTGGAGTACAGAGCCCATATGTGACCCTGATATCGAACAAAATGACATCATGTTTCTCATTGGAGATCAACTAGAGCAATTAGGTAGTACAAAAATAGAGACATGTCTTAAAGAAAAGAGCAAATTATATAAAGAACAGCTCAAAGATGAAAAAGAACCACATACAGAACAATCTGTGGTTGACAGAGAACCACGTAATGAACAGCTTGGAGATACAAAAGAACCAAATAAAAAACAATATGTGGTTGAGTTAAAACCATGTAAATACCTTGAAGTGGAGAAAAAACCAAGTAAAAGGCAGATTGAGGCTAGAAATGAACCATGTAAAGAACACTTTGAAAATGAGAACAAATCATGTAGAGAATTTGGGGATGAGAATAAATCACTTGAAAAACAATTTGAGATAAAAAAAGAACCACCTAAAGAGCATTTAGAAGATCAGTTAGAACCATGTAAAGGTAATCTTGAAGTAAAGATAGAATCATATAAAAAACAGTCACAATTTGAGGTAGAACCATTTCAAAGGCAGTTTGAAGTTGAGGTAGAACCATATATCGAACATCTTCTAGTGGAGGAGGAACCATCTCAAAGGCAGCATAAGATGGAGACAATATCACAGGTGTGGAACATTCAGCCTGACTTGTAAATGTGTCCACAGCCGAGTCCTTATTCTAACAACTAACCATCACTAACTGCTTGGTTTTTAATGATATTATTGTTGTTGTCTGTGAGTTGTGTTTTTTGTGATTGATCAACTGCAAGTTGTATTATTGTTTGTTTGTTTGGTCTTTAAGTATGTAACTTTGTTTTACTAATCCACAGTGTACTTTTTATCTAATTTTTAACTGTTCCATTTTAGCTTTTAGTATTTTTTTATTAACTCCAGTTTTTAATGATCTAAGGAACACTTGAAATAGATTAATTATAAAATACTATATTTTACTTCACAGATTGATCAAGATGTACTAGACACCTCCCAGACCAGTGAAGGAACTCCTGTTTCCAAACAAACTTCTTCTATGGTTATTAAGTCACAAAATGTGATAAGCAGTTCAACAGTTGTTTCAGTTGTAAAGAAAACCAGGATTATTTCAGATGGAAAAACAACAAAAGTATTTGAAGAAGAAGAATATCCTGACATAGAACCTTCTAGTTTTGTGAGAGGCATTGAAGATAGTGAAATTAATCACACTGCCATTGAAAGGAAGGGAGCAAGTAATTTTCAACAGGTTTCAACCAGTTACCAAACTACTGGTTCTGGTGTTTTTCATCCTTCCAGTAGTTACCTCAAGTCTCAAGCCACAACAAACCAACAAGTTAAAGCTACTGCTACCAGTTTTTCTGCTTCCTACCAACAACAGTCCCATCATGTATTATCAAGCCAAGAATTGGCAATTTTAGGTAATGATAATGAAGAGCCTCGAGTGGTAAGTTCTAGGTCAGCTTCCTCTAGAGCTCAGGTGCAAGTTACTACACATACTTCAGCATCTAAAAGAACTCAAAGATATGATCCAACAAGTATTGTTAGCTATCCTGATGAAGAACCCGAAGATCACCAGACACCATCTGATTCTGAAGGCTGGGTTAGAATCAAGGAAATGATGGAAGATGTCGGTGATGAACTATCTTGCAAAAATGTAAAAGACACTGAAGAATATAAGTTGTATCAAGATGATATCAAGGAACCAAATTCTTCAAAACTTGAGTACAACACCCAGCTACAAGAGTCACAGGATTCTGAGGAGGAGGTCTTTTCCAGTAAACGTTACCAAATCCCTCAAGAGCTCAATTGGGCTCTTTGCTCTGAAACAACCACCCACACATCCTCTCAAGTTCTGCTACCAAAAGAGTGTATTTCATTTATTGAAGATCCCTTCAAACACACAGTGGAAATTTGTGCAGCTGTTGTGAAAGGTCCAGAAGAAGCTAATTGCATTGTATCCTCAAGAACAGAAAATCTTTTGGAGCTTCCAATGCAAAATTCTCTTGAAAAAGAAGCTGAAACCGAAGAAGATAATATACTTTTACAAATAGGACAATCTGGTTCCAATAAAGAGTTACAAGCAATTAGAACTGAAATTGATAAAGATGTTTCAAAAGGTGAAGATTTTAAAACGTGTGTGTTTACTGAGGTTGAAGAACCAATTGAATATTCTAGTGCTGATTTCACAACTACTGATGAACTTCTCAGCAATCAATGTGAAAAAATGTCTAAGTTAGATAATTTTCAAAAAGTTGAAATTAGGGAGAAAGTTGATGAGCATGAGAAAATAGATCTACATTCATCACAACCCCAGAAGAAAGATAATGTTACTGATGATGACATGGGAGAAGTTAAACCAGAAATCAGCCCTGTCTTTGAGGATACAACCATGAAGGAAGCAACTCAGACATGGGAGGAATCATCAGAAGACTTTGAAACTGAGATTTTAAAAAAGGAACATTTGGAAATGGTCCAAGGTATAGCAGAAACAAATTGTGAGCTGGAGACTAAAGAAACTAGTGAGCTCTCAGCTGCCCATGTGACAAGTGAAGAAGAGGTTTTTGAACATTCAGTAACACAAGAGGAACAACTTATCCCTGTGAATGTAAATGATATTCCAATTAAAGTAGAATCAATCACAAAGCCTATAACTGTAGATGCTGATGATGTCAATTTCTTAAAACATTCTATAATAATTAAAGAAGAGACAACTGATAATTCTAAAACTCCACCAGAGAAGAAGAGTATCCAGAAACTGGAAGACTTTTCCCAAGATGTGGAAAAACCACTGAAACTGGAAACCAATTATCCTGGCCAACATCCAGATAAAAACATTCCTCTGGCCGTTAAACCTTCAGAAAAAGTATTTACTCAAATAACAACAAACATGGAGAAGGTTCAAAACCTGAGTGAAGGCCTTGAAAAATATTTATCTGAAACTGTTCCTGTAGTAAAATGTGGTAGAAGTGCTGTACCAGTTTCATCTGTAGAAGAACAGAAGGAAACAGACTTTAGTGAAAATATCATTGTTGAGACCGAGGAACAGCCAGAACAAGATGTATCATCTGAAATTTTGTTTGACAAGGATGTTGAGACAATTTCTTCATTTGAAAGACAGAAACAAACAGTCTTGATAGAGGATGCTACTAAAGTGTCAGGGGAACAGCTAGATCAACATATTCCACATGAATCTGTGTCTGACAAGGAGGTAGTAACAGTTTCTTCAGTTGAAAGAGAGAAAGAAACAAGATTGGTAGATGATGTTACTACAGAGCCTGAGAAACATGTTGCACATGGGACTGTATTTGACAAGGAGGTAGTAACAATTTCCTCAGTTGAAATTGAGAAAGAAGCAAGATTCATAAATGATGTTACTACTAGGCCTGTGGAACAGCTAGATGGACATGTTCCACATGAGACTGAGTCTGGCAAGGATGTAGTAACAGTTTCTTTAGTTGAAATAGAGAAAGAAACAAGATTGGTAGATGATGTTACTACTGGGCCTGAGGAACAGCTAGATGGACATGTTCCACATGAGACTGAGTCTGGCAAGGATGTAGTAACAGTTTCTTTAGTTGAAATAGAGAAAGAAACAAGATTGGTAGATGATGTTACTACTGGGCCTGAGGAACAACTAGATCAACATATTTCACATGAGACTGTGACTGGCAAGGATGTAGTAACAGTTTCTTCAATTGAAATTGAGAAAGAAACAAGATTCATAGATGATGTTACTACTAGACCTGAGGAACAACTAGATCAAAGTATTACACATGAGACTGTGTCTGGCAGAGATGTAGTAACAGTTTCTTTAGTTGAAGGAGAGAAAG